CACACGGACACATGGTCAGGAAATTCATACGCATGAAGGAGAATACACAGTACCTGCAGGATACTGATGGCTAAATTGAAGAATTATTTAAGCTACTGAAGAAAACCAAGACAACCTCTCAGCTTGGTTAATGCAGATTACCAAACTAGAGGTATCTCACCTATGAGGTCTGTCATCTTGTCGGTGACGGCACGAGATGCTCTGATCAGCGCGTTGTCACTCTCATCATACTTCATCTTCATCTCAAAGAACCCTGCAGTGAACGTAAGAACGACAGTATGTCACACACATGCACAGAGGTGGGGGGAACAAACGGAAACAATTCCCTCAGATCAGCACATTCTTTCAAATTTATAGTAAGTTCATATTCAGAGTTCCGACATCACTTTTCCTGTCAAAAATATGAAATCCCTCTGGGACAGCTGGTTAGACAATATGAGGAATGAAAAAGGATAAAAACTGAAGCTCAGCATAAATAGGGTAGAGTAAGAAGTGTTGATGGTGCAACAGTAGCTACTGTATGGAAATCTACATAGCTGCAAATCTGTTGACTTTGCACAATGTCCTAACTGCAGCCCAAGTATTTATTTCCACCTGTCCCAACATTATTAATCTTCAATGTTGGTTCCCTAGTGTGCACAATATCAACTAAATAAGCATTGATGTTAATTTATAAACCTCCCCCCCTCATTATACAGACTCTCTTCTTGTTCCCTTAGCAGCAACTTCTATTAACTGGATATTTCAGCAAATGCTTATTAGTGGAGCCTCATAAGCTTGAAGGTTAGTAAAGTGTTTCACGCCTCCAGGCCCAGGCACAAATATATCTTACACAAGTTTTATTACTTGGATAATTTTGGTATAGATGAATTTATCTCACCAGAGCTTCAACAATAGCAAAACCACATGCAGAACAACCTGACTGATTCTTGCAAACTGTTCAACTAGGCCCATTTTGTTGTTTAACTTTATCCCTACTCAGCCAAGGATACAGACAGAAAGATAAAGAGGTCAGTTAGTCCTTACTGTTGAAGACCATATTGTTGTCTTTGAAGTCCTTCCACTGCTGGTACCACTTTGAGTCTTTGTGGAGCACCACACCCATAGCTTCCCTGAAGAACACACAAAGTAAAGCTTCAAACAGCGGGCCAACTGAAACAAATCCCTGTTGTCCTGCTGCACTCATGCTGGCCATTTCTTTAAGCCAGAAAGGAAAACACTGCAGTATTTACAGCAAGAACAATTAACTACATGTAAAAGAAACATTGGGAAAACTATCAAGGTTCCACTTTGAGAAATACACCATCCACAAAAGCACTCATTTCCCTTATAGTAGTTCGGATAAAGTTGGGTAGTCTCCTGTTACCTGGCTATATGTGATTCTCAGCTCTCACAGTTTTTCAGCGTCCTGTACTTTTATTATTTATTTAATGTATTAATGATTAGACTCTCTGAGGCCATATTAGGGGTACTAGTTATCTGGTGTCAATATTTATTGCACTTTAACCTGGAATACCAATGTTGATTGGGTATGTCCTCGACTCCTCCAAAGGTTGTATTTTTTTACGTAGGCTGTGTCTGTATGGAGTCAAAAAGAAAACTATGCTCTTGTTTTATCAGGCTGTTTTGGAGAGTGCTATCTGATATGGAATTACTGCATGATTTGGGAATATTCCTGTGGCATAAAAGTCTGACTTAGCACATTTGCTTCAGACGGCGATGAAAGTCATTGGTAAGAAAGATCATCATAATATTCAGTCTTCGTATGCCCTTAAGTGCCTTAAACAGGTAAAGACAATCCTCTGTGATCCATCCCACATTCTCCCAGCATGAGCTGTTACCATAAGGCAGACGACAGAGAGCTCAGCTGTGTGAATTCAATTTGTTTAAAGAACTGCTTTGTGCCTGTGTCAGTCAGAGTCTTTAATGTTCTGTGCCTGCTGTTGTTGTGTGGCTACATATATTGATGGGTGTAGCTTTGTTGAGGCCAAGAAAGAAAGAAAGAAAGAAAGAAAGGAAGAAAGACACTGAGGTGTTCCCCTGTCAGTATCAGAAGCAGAGGGCACTCACGTACTCGTTGGCTTCGAAGACCTTGCTGTCATCCCCTGCCCCCTTGGAGGAGAACTCGCTCCTCTTCCTGAGTCTTGCAGGAGGCCGATAAGGTCCAGTGTGACCCAAGTCACCAATCTCTTTCTTCACACTCTCCATGCCCTGAAAACAGATTAACGGGTAGCAGAATAGAGTTATGATGTATCATTTTCAAGACACTCCTAATGAAGTGATTCCTAATCACTATATCTATATTTACCCAACAGAGTAAGCAGTGCACCAAATTTGTAATTAAGTGAAATATCATTGAATAAAGGTGCTAGTATAGTGTGTGTTCAAGCAATAAAGTATTAAACAACAACAACCAAAAGGACTGTTTTATCTTTGTTTGCATACAATATTAACATTTGCCCAGATCTTTAGATTCACAATGATACACTTCTCAGTCCTGCCTTACTTAAAAGGGTTGAAGATTATGTGTCAAGTAAGTATCCTTACTTTATTTAAGAAAAGTAAAAACCAACAAATGCAGTGTAACTTTTGGTAACAAGTAACCACAGTGAGCACAGTGAATCCATACCTGTGATATTGCTCTGAACGCGCCAGTCTTCCCCAACATCTCTCCACTTTTAGAGACGTTCTCTGCTGAGGTCTTCGCTGTTTTGGCTGCTTCCTCCATTCCCTCCTTGATTTTTTTCCCAATTTCTGTACGAGTGACGTCCCCAAAACCCTGTCCACGCACACAGAAACACACACAACTTGTAAGGGTGGATGGCTCAACTTGAATAGCATATCTTTCATATGTCAATCAAAAGAAAGAAATCAGATTTACCTCCTTGACTGACTCAGAGATGGTTCCCCACTTCTTCCTGAGAACCTCGGAGGTCTTCACAGTTTCAGACTCTATAGTTTTCTGGGGAAGAGATGGGGTTGGGGATGTTTAGATCTAACACTACTTTTTCATATTAACACAGATATAATGTGTGTGTGTGTGGCCAAATACTAACATATTTTTTTCTGGCTTGTTTCAATGCATCTGACTCCTCCAGCTTTTGTGCCTCTGCCCGGAACTTTTGGATGTTTTCCTTCATTTCCTTGTTCTTGTTCAGCTCCTGCTTCAGGTTGTCTAGAAACTCCCCCAGGAAACCTTTTCTGCCGCCGCCTCTCTCCCCTGACAAATACCTTACCTGCAGAAGGGGTGACTGAAGCACCTTGTTGGTATGAATAAGAAACAACAAATATGATTAATTTCCTCCAAGCTTGTCTAGAGTACTTCAATGAAACTTGAAAATGTATGTTCACAGTGTTGCTTATGTACTCAGACCAGTTGAGGGAGTTGTGCCCTACTGTCCAAGATAATAAACTTTAGGTAGGAAACAAGCATAATGACATGAGCACTTTAGAATGGTAGATATGCAGCTAATGGATTAAAGTCTACGCTGCTCATACTGTTCTTCTAAAGAGCCCCTGCTTTTTCATTATTCTTTATATGCTTGTTTTCAACCTAAAATTTAAATAAACAGTTACCAGTTCATAGATACACGCAGTTAAAACTTACACAGTGAAATAGAACAGTCCTACAATAAAGACATACTTCATGTAGGTTATAATGTTCAGTTATTGTTCAGAGAGATGATGATTAAAATTAATGGTCATTTTTGGAGGCTGCAGTTTTTGTTCCTGTTGAATTGTATTGCATTTTACTGAGAGGTGTTTCTATTATTGTGTCCACTCTATTTATATCAAACAAGGTAGACTAAACAACAGAAACCCCTCTCTGCATAATGCAATTCAGCAACACAACAAAGACTTGAACATTATAATACACATAGTAGGACTGTTGTATTAGACTGCATTAGTATTAGTTAAGTGTAGCTAATATTGGCAACTGTGTGTTCATTTTGAGGTTATAACCATGATAACCACTACAACTGTGTCTGAGGCCTGTTGGGTGTGTAAAGAGAGACGTATGACAGTAACACGGTCAGGTACCTGAGGAGAACATGTGAGGGACCCACGTATCCTGTAGACATTGGGTCTGTTGTGAAGCAGCAGGTAAGAGGAAGGGAAAGCCACCAAGCCTCTTCTTACACATATCTGGAGACAGACATACGAAGTCAGCCTCAAACTTTAGATAACCACGTAGCTACTGACAATCACCACGGAGACAGTCTTCATATTAGGGTATTTAATTGGTATTTAATAAAAACCTTGTTGTATTTAGCCGAAGCGGAACATATGAGAGTAGTTTGTCATTAATGAAACCATTTAATCAATAAAAAATTATTTATCATGAATGGAGAGACACTGTGTTCATTAGCAGGCATGGTGGGAAGATCAGGTCACATGTATCTAGTTACCAAAGTCGACATGTAACTTAGAAAAAGATTTCGTCCTGCGCTACTTTAAAACACCGGCTGGACATCTTAATAGTCAGAGCTAACTGAGCTAGCTCACGCTACGTAAGCAGCCTCGTCTGGGATGAAAACAACTCGTGACACTCGCAGTCAGTAGCAAAACTAACAGCTCAAAAACACCGTTCAAGTTCTCCCTTTATTATTTTGTATCGTTTAAATGCTGATATTAAGCACAAAAAGTCCCAAGCACTCACCTGGTAACACTGACACAAGGGGGTCGCCATCTTGAACGTAATGCCTATGACCTTCTTCCGGTGGTGACCTTCCACAGCCACGAGGGGGAGGTCATGAGAGCTCATACGATGCCTCCAATGCATTATTGACCCCGTGAGCTTCATCTCCACATATTAAGCAGTGCGTACACTAATAACACTAAGGCATATCTTATTAATATGCATCTCAAACACGTTAACTGGCATCAAATGATAATAATGTGAATATAATTTAGCATTACTGCTTCAATCACAAGAAAACTATAAGCTGATGATCTGATCCATTCACAGACAAAGCAATCACACAAAGGAGTCCAAAGCATTTCAGATATTGAGGTTTATTTATCAAAACACCTTATAGAACAAAGGCAATGACAAGTGAAGCATGACAAAACAAAACAAAAAAAAAATTAAAAATTTGGTCTCTAAAAAAAGTAAAATTTAAGCAAGAACTAAAACACGTTCACTGTTACAAATAACTAAAACATTTGCACCGGTACAAATATCTAACAAACCAAGTGAATATGAATATGCTGAAGGGCAATTCAGATGATACAGAGCGCTTAGACATTAGAGACTAAATGAAATGTCTGATGTAATGCACACGAATAACTTATGCATTTCTATCAATCCTAACATCAATTTCTCTTCCATTCAGCCTGTAGCCATTCATGGTCCGGCAGACGCGCTCAGCAGTTTCCGGGTTGTCGAAGCGAACCACACCGCAGCCCTTGGACTTGCCGTTCTCCATCTTAATATCAGCATACTGAACCATGCCTGCAGAGGGGAGAGAACCAATGTTATAAGTCATGTTTAATTTAAAATAAACAATTGTTAATTTTATATTTACTATGACGACTATTCTTACCGCATGTATTGAAGGTATCCTTCAGCATCTTCCAGGTGAAGTCAAATGGCAGCTGAAAGACAAAATTAAATTTTAGTCGTGTAGAGAGAAGTGGTGATATCGGTGAGGTGCCTGCACAGAGCCAAAAGGACACTGAAAGAAAGCACCCACCCAGCCACAGCCTGTTCACCCTGCTGCCATCTGGGAAGAGGTACAGAAGCTTCCACTGCTGTACCACCAGACTTAGACAGCTTCTTCCCTCAGGCTGTGAGACTGTTCATTTCATCCTCAACAATTCATTAAACTAAGACTTTTTCAAAGTAGCACAAAAAGGAACTATATCTGAATTTCATTCCACAACCTTAAATTAAACCCAACTGCCCTGCTGAGAAACACTTACATTTCTGACAAAGATCTGGCATCCCTTCCTGACATTGCCTCCTCCGGTTCCAGGCCCTCCAGCTCCTCCAAAGGAATTGCCACCAAATCCACGATCCAAGTCAGCAGAGCGATCAAACTGACCGCCAACACCTCCAGACCCCATCCGATCCATGCCAGAGCTCATGCGGTCGAGGCCACCGGAGGGGAAGCGGTCAAGTCCTCCAGTGGAGCCGATGCGGTCGAAGCTGGTGGCCATTCTGTCAAGCCCGGTGTTGCCCATGCGATCCATACCCATTGGGGAACCAAAGTCCAGGCCAGAACCCATGCGATCCAAACCAGATGGGCCTAAGCGGTCAAACCCAGCTGGGCCGAGGCGTTCCATGCTGGAGCTCATACGGTCCAGGCCAGGTCCAAGCCTGTCCATACTGGGCCCCAGCCGGTCCATCCCCGAGCCCATCCGGTCAAACCCAGAACCCAGCCTGTCCAGGTCAGACACGCGGTCCATCCTGTCCATGCCCATCCGGTCCATCCCTGCCATGCGGTCCATGCTGGTTCCCAGGCGGTCCATTCCAGAGCTCATGCGATCCATACCCAGGGAGTTTCCTATAAAAGCGAGTAAACAGAGAGGGGAAAAAAAATGTTACATTGACTGCTTAAGCGAGCATTACATCTGATGAGGCTCAGAGTAGTTATCAGAGGAATTTCAAACAAAATCCTGAAAATACTAACCCATTCCTCTCTCAAAGGATTCTCCAAAATTATTGCGAGACATTCCCATTTCATTTCGCCCAAACTCCCTGTCAAAAGCACCACCAATCCCACGGTCCATCTCTGACAATGCAAGAGATGAAACCATTAGAAATGTCCAGCAAAACGTGAAAGTGTCCCACGTTTGCTTCTGAGTGTCTAACACATCACAAAACGCCTCCTTACCGTTCATCCTGCCCATCCCTGAAGAACCAAAACGATCCATGTTGTTCATTCCTCCAAAGTTGTCCATTCCTATAACAGAGGAGAACAAAGTCTTAATGCCAAAGGACAAAACCAGAAACTGATAAGATAGGTGGGGCATGGAAATGTGTTACCTTTATGGTACCAGTGTCATGGAGCTTAATATTTAAAGTATATAGAATTTATACATAATGCAATTTGTTGTCTTCATAAATGTTTCTAAGTAACACTTTAAAAAGGACATAAACAGGATGATACCAATAATTGTTAAGTTTTTACTGTGATTGATAGAGAAAGCACTGAGTTTACAGCAGTTGAGGTAAATACAGCAAGGGCCAGAGCCACTTAAATCTTCAGTACGTACCTCCTCCTCCTCCTCCTCCTCCTCCCCCTCCCCCCATACGACCTCCCATGTTGCCAAAGCCCATTCCATCCATTCCTACAAGTGAGAAGAGTGATAATAAGCCACTGATTTCACTGGTGTCTTTTTTTTTCAAAGGATCTCACAAAACATAGTAGCTAGTTACCTCCAGGTCCCATGTTGCCCATTCCTCCACCACCACCACCTCCTCCTCCTCCTCTGTTGAGTTGGGTAGCATCAATGGGCTGGCCACCAGGTCCCAGGCCCAAACCAATACCACTCAGGCCACCTTGGGCAGAGAAAATGGGTACAGAATAAAAATTCTGCCTACGCAAGAATTTTTAAATAAATATACTGCATACACTATTACTTTCTTCAGCACCAGAAAGGCAGAAGTAGCACTTAAGCTATAGGGACCTCTAAAATGTTTGTTCAGTGTGTTGTAGAGGCCCCCGTGGCACCTGACAAAGCACCCAGTGTATATCACAGTGTCCCTAAATAGCTTTACTCGGCACCCAATACACAAAAATATCATAGCTGCAGTTCTCCACCAAACCGAAGTAAATACATTTAACTGGCAAAGATGTAATGGTTATAATATTGGGGGTATGGTGTATACTTACGGGGAAGAGCAGAAGATCCTCTGTCAGGAGGTCCAAAGTCTTTGGGCAGGGATTTCTCATCCTGAAAAAAAGCAACATAAAAGCATTCAGACCGTGCTCTCAAATCACAATGAGATCTAATGTACTTTGAGGTTTAAGCAACTTACCAGTTTGACGTGCATGACTCTGTTGAATAACAGCTGTCCATTGAACATAGCTGTGAAAGCATTAAGGAAAGCACACCAGAGACATTTCTAAAACTATGCAATTCTACTGAATTAACATTCTGTGCCTACATTTAACAAGGTAATCAAATCAGCAAACATTTTACAAAAGGATACAGACAGCTTGGACTGCTTCAAGGGGCATATCAAACGTCACCGTGCCCATGCCTCTGCTTTTCCCATCCTTGTCCTCAAGAATGTCAGCTCTCACCACCATGCCCGCCATGCTGAATACCTCTTTCAGCTTCTTCCAGCCCACTTTGTAGTCAAGCTGTAGGCACAAGGAGCAATTTGAGAAATGGTTACATAAACAAGTCAGACTACAGTTTCAGTTGCAAACTAATGGTAATGCTGAACCTTTAGTCATTTTCTTAAGAAAGAGTAATTAAGATTATATAAAAAATATTTACTGGCTACAGTTTCTCAAATGTATTTGTGAAAGACCTTTGTCTCTTCATATAATTTAATGTACATTTGGGGGTTTTAGAACATAAAAACAAATGGAGAAACTTTGGAAGACTCACATTAGCCACAAAGACAGTGCTTCCAATCCTGCCAGCCTGGAGACCATGGATGATCTCATTGGGGATGTTGGGGTTGTTCATCAAGCTAGGAGGAATGTTGACCATTCCTGGGCCATTTGGTCCAGGCCCCATTCGATCCATATTCATACGATCCATTCCACCCATTCCTCCCATTCCCCCATGGCCCCCTGGTGGGCCTCCACCTTGAGCCTTGTTGATTTCTCTCTGAGCAATGACACCATCGGGGTCCTGAAAGCAAAAAAAGGATTAATATGACTCAGGAAAATCCACAACTGACATGTTGGTCTCTTTGTTTGTCTTGCTGTGGCCTACCTCTTTCACTTTTAGGGGTCGTCCATTGAGGTTGTGCTTGTTGACCTTCTCCACTGCTTTCTTCATTAGCTCCTCAGTCCTAAACTCAACCACACTGGACAGAAATACACAGTATATCCCATTAGAGCACTCAATAAACAAACTAACAGGTTTTGGTCACATACTGATACAGGTCTTCATGTAATCACAGACAAAGTTATAAATAATAATTGAACAGTCTACTTACGCACAACCCTTTGTTGATTGAAGACATAACAGGTCACACCCAGAGGAGTAAAGAATAATTCAAATTAGTAAAAGCAATGGTTATAACAGGTGTCCTAATTGAAACTAAATTTAAGCAAAAATATTGAATTTCATGCACATTAAAAAGTTCAGCATCACACAAGCCTACAGACTTGGCAACAACTCTGATTCCAAATAAAATTACAATGTTAAGATCTCACATTTTCCCCAGTCACATCAGGTGAATATTAGAGTATTTTTCCAGCATCCAAAGGGCAGAAAATCCACAGTGAGATAGGATTCCCCACTACTAAGATATTGGAGGTAACTTTTCCCGTAAAACAGTTCTACGGAATGGGTTATATTTAACAACCATCTAACAGCCGTGTAACAACCTCTAGCAGACTAGACCCCTTTAGTTCATGAGGAGCAAATCCGGCAACCAAAGGGACATTGTCAGCTACTGCAATCCCACAATTGGCTACAAAGAAAGCTGACGTCCTGTTGTAAGAGCATCAACCCTCGGGATGACCTCGAGTCAGTGCCACAGACGACACCAAATAAAACGCACTTCCGCATGTCACCATCTCGCACACTCCACCAGGTTTCTGAATCTGAACAATTCCCAACAATGAAAATAAAGAAACCAAAGCTGACAAACACAGGTTTGTCTAGGATTATTCATATTTTTATTTGTATGTATTTGCACTTACCCTCGATTTGCCTTCTGCGTCCATTAAGTGTTCCACGTACGTTACCTCACCCACTACAAATCAGATTCCAGAGACGACACACACCAAGGGGAGAGAAGCCGAGAGAACAATGGGGGTTTAGAGCAGAAACACAAGTAGGGTGGCCGGTGACAGTGAGCTCAGACTGCCATTCCTGAGCCTTCCCCCAGCACCTCAGCAGCAGCACAATATGGTACAGGTCTACAAAAGGCAAGCTTGGGTCTTTTTTTTTTTTTTAAAGTAAAGACTTCTTAGCCTGTCCTTGTTGGAATTCTCCCGAAGCACCAAAAGCAATAGACTGAGGACAACAACTGTTGAAATGGCCATCAGCCTTCCTGTTTGGATATAATGCCGTGAACACCACCTTCTAACTGGAGATAATTGAACAAATAATTTCAAAAAGGCAAAACCCGTTCAATGCTTCAGCCCGTTTCATTGTCAAACCTGTGCATACTTGGTCAAATGTCGCCATTTTAAAACCTCAGGCCAATGCGTCAATACATTCGTCCATCAGCCGAGCCTAAGAGGAAAACTAACCATAATCTTAATGACGGCACCCTCTTAAGGGAAGAAACTTCTGTAACTGCAAACATGTTCTAAAAAGTGGACCTGTTCCTGAAACGCACAATATCAGAATTTTGATTTATTCCCGCCTTCATTCCAGATCACGTGTCTGTTCATTGAATGGACATCAGTGACCACACCTCTGCAGACAAGGACAGTGCATAAGAAGTTGCTTCATTTTGTAGACCTGTACCCCAAAGAAATCCCCAACGCATAGCTGTGTTTGGCACAACATGGAGATCTGCTGAGAAAACATTTGCTTGTCAAGGTCACACCTAAAAAAGAAAATGCAATTTAACTCCACAGTCAGTTGTCATAAAACAAATACCAGGCACTCCTTCGGAAAAAGGATTGTACCTTTAACACATGCTTTAACTTCAAGTAAATGCCAGTTTTGTGCATTACTTATGGTACATCTATCGCTTTCCAATACCCCATAGCTATAAGTACTGTCACATGAGAAACAACACATGTAAATCCATATTTTATATATAAGAGAAAACTTTAGGCAAACCCCTGCTGAAATTCAAAGTTGCTGCATCACAAATGATTTCGTTTGACATGTCTCCAAAATTTTGACTTATTTATAAATCATGAGAGCTCAGGTTTTACCATTTATTGCATGTTGCAACTGAGTATTCCTCATTTCTGGGCAACATCATACAACTGTTGTACTTTTTCCCCCTTCTCCGTGCATTTATTGGGGAAAAGCATCTCATGATGCCGCTCATGATCCCAAGCCATTGGATTTTCACATTAGTGGACCGGCTTTACACATGTACAACCTCCACTTCACCAAAACCACAAAATGTTTTAGTAATCTCAATGGAGAATAAATGTTCAGTCTAAGGTTCACAGCACGTATTCAAGTCTGCAGCAACTCCTTAGTTGACGGACAAATAAGAGGGACCTCGTCCAAAACCTTTGTTCCAAATAACTCCCACAAGATCTCAAGCAACTTTGTACAACTTAAGTCCCTACACAAATTCCCAAAAGCCCCTCAAAGCACCAGTGGTCAAACAAAATGACCCTGGATGCTGCAACTTTTTGTCATGTCCAAAGGTGATTTAGTCTATCCCTTATCCAAACACCTTACCTTTTTCTTTCATCAGGTCTTTGAGGGCTTGCCATTTCACATCATATGGGATGTTGCTGACAAAGACACGGTATCTTTTGTTCACATTTCCATAGGGTTCGTAGCGCCCGCCACCACCTCTCTTCTGGGGCCTCTCCTTCCTGCTGGAATTGGAGTCATGCTTGGCTTTCCCATTAACTTCTCTGTGTAAAGAGATCAGTTAATACAGTGAGTAATAGTGAGTTAAGTCAACATGCTTTTACAAGAGAGCCCAGAAAAGGGCAGAATACAGCCATAATACAAGAGTTAAGTGTAAAATCTGCAATCATGTGCTAGTGCATATTATAACTAACTAAATATAATTAAAACATAACCCAGGCAGCCCCATTTTCAATCCATTAACATTACTCCTTCAGAAGGAGTAAAATGAGGCCAGTGCTAACCCAATCCAGTAACGTTAGTGGGTCTAACGGGATTTTCTTAAATCTGATAATGAAAAAAAATCTTCAACTAGTTAAATCTTGAATAAAACCTACGGTTAGTGATACTATTGCAAACACTTGAACCTTAGCTATAGTTAATAATGGTTTGAAATGGAGTCAGTGGTTTGCTATCAGGACGACTGCACTCCTGCCGCATGGCAAGGCCGCTCTTTGAACATAGTAAGCCGATAATTAAATTAACGTTACGTTATTTAAGTACCTCTAATTATACTGAGAACAAATAGAAAAGGAAAACCACTACACTATTAAGCATTAAAGTAGCAAAGTGATCTGCTATCGTGAAGTTACGTTCGGTTACGTAAAATGGTCGGATTCTCCCAGTAAATAGACGGGCCCCAAAACACACGCCACCTAACCTCACCGTAGATACGACGACATTTAAAAACACAGTGCGCGCGTTATTATACAACTGCCTCATCAAGGTTGCAACTAAGGGAACATTTTCATCCAAAAAAAAATAGTCGAAGTGCGAAATTCCCGTGGACCGGAATCATTAAAGCACACTGGATAATTAGCTATAGCCAGCTAGTAAGCGCCAACAAAGGAACCGTGATGAATGGACTCACCCCTGCTGCTGCTGCTGCTGCGGCGGAGGAGGCTGCTGCTGCGGCTGCTGCTGGCCTACTTTCTCGGCAGTATTTTCGGCCTGCTCGTTGGACATCTTCTTGCGCAGTTTAGTGTCTTACTAAATTAAACTGTGACTGTCTTCGTTGATGTTAACGAGTGAAGCGCCCTCAAAAGTGACCTTAATGCAACAAATACTCGTTTCGTTAGCTTAATGACAACGCCTACCACTTCTGCGACACCAGCTAACGAAAATGGCGGAGAGCAGTCTGCTGGGAATTTTAAAACCAGGGATACAATGGCACATCCGGTAGATTCCAAAGTAAAGGTAACACGGGATTTTCAGAATAAAAGCACACTGAATACATACAGACAAAGTATTTTTGTAAGAAAATGTTTTTACTTCATTGAAAGTCACATTGTTTTGTGCAGGTAACAATGAATTTTTTGACTGATTGAAAATTGAAGCATGATGACCATATTTTGGTTTGGATAAATAATCAATCAGTAATATAAAATAAAACAACAGAATTATGTATCAGTTTTGACTCAGTGATTTTTATTATGTGTGGGCTGGAGAAATTGGCTTCTTCTTCACTCTCAGACTTTAAATGTCTGCAGTCCGGGGAAGCACTGAAGAAATACATTCCTAAAGAAAGAACATCTTTGATTCTTTCATGTCATGAATCAACAAGTTTATCTGAGTTGCTCTGTGTCTCGTCTCTTTGTCACTATCTTTTACTTTTAACATAAATGTTTATCATAATTGATATTGATAGCACTCCTATTCATAGTATAACATTAATGTAGAAAATCTAATAGTTCTTGCTTTAATTTAGTAAATTCCATGTTAATTGGTGCACATTATTTCCATTTTTTATTTTTACTTTTACTATATGTATATACCTATACATTCATTTCTATACTATATATTGTGTTAGATATGATATATATAACTTATATATAATGTTAGATTTTATCCTCCAATGAAAAAACTGTTTGAAACGACATGTTATTTAGCTTCTAGAGGGTCTTTGAGTTATTATGATTGTTTTTGTTATTGTACCAATCATACTAGTTGTTTTGATTTATTTGAAATAAAAAAAAAAACAATAGCCTGCAGTACACCGCCAGACCTCACGGGGGCAGCAGTACATTACAACAACAGTAGGGTTCACAACGACATCAGCGGGGACGGAAATAGTATCTGTTTAGCTTCTCACATAGCCTTAACAATAGCTTCTTAATATCCTTATTAACTGTCTCTGTAGCGTTCACGTTTTCGAGACGCGTTCACGGTAATATCACGAAAACAAATCCTACATTATCGCCACGTCACTGTTTGCGGCTCCGTGTAAAGTTAACGTAGCTTAGAAATGTCAACGTTAGCGTTAGCTCGTAGCTAGGAGCGTATTAGTTACAGTGTACCGCCTGTGAATGAATGTGTGAACAGTATTCGCGTTGGACGGGTTGTGAGAAGCGTTAATTAACAACACAATTAGTCATGGGTACTGGTGCTGATGTGAGGGATATTCTGGAGTTGACCGGAGGAGAAAATGACGGTCCCATCAGCAAGAAAGATCTCATCAACTCGGACAAGGTGAGAAATAACCGTAAGATACCTGATGATGCCTGTCCCAGTATTTACTGTCAGTTTCTCTAATCACAGGCTATGGGACTCAGTAAACACCAAACCATGCCATTGCCACAGCGAGAAATTGAGATGATGTTGCTTTTCTGTGATAGAGAGTGTCACCAAAAGTTTTCTTGGGGATAAATAACCAATTTCTCAATCACCTGTCTCAGAAAAAATCGAAGAAGACAACAGAAACGCTGACCTTCAAGAGACCAGAGGGAATGCACCGAGAGGTCTACGCTCTCCTCTATTCAGATAAAAAGTATGTAACACGCTTTTGGTTTGTCTAAAATCATTGTATTGATTAAATCTCGAGGTTTTGAGTCAGTCTGCTTTACGTATTACCATTTTCTTACTTACTAATGTTAAAAGGTTTTAGTAGTAAAGGCCTGGGATGAAAATCCAAAAAGTCAGGGTGTTTTTGTCTCTTCCATGGATAATGATTGTTCACCTTGAATTCAGAAAAGACAAAGGACATTTACAAGAAATGCCATTCTTTTCTAGTGTGCAAATCAGATACTAAGACCAATGATGTGACAGTCAGTGGCATATTCCCCCAGTGGTTCATGTTGAAGCCTCACTGAAAGGGACAGCTTGTCAGTTTTCTGTTTTACAGCATGTTTTGTATAATGCCTGTCCTTAAATTTCAAGGCTAATACCTTACTGTATAACGTACTGTATATCAGTGTCCCTGGGCTCAGACTTTGCACACTGCTTTCATATTGTCCTTCATACATACAATCATATATAACTGAGCTGGTTAAACTACAAAATAGATAAAGCAGATTTTCCACAAATGTTTTACCCTTGCTTTAACAAGCACTTGTTTTTTCCGTCAATCCCCAGAGATGCACCCCCTTTGCTGCCCAGTGATACTACTCAGGGCTACAGGACAGTCAAAGCCAAGCTGGGCTGTAAAAAGGTGCGTCCCTGGAAGTGGATGCCCTTCACCAATCCTGCTCGCAGGGATGGGGCTATATTTCACCACTGGAGACGCGTGGCAGAGGAAGGCAAGGATTACCCTTTTGCCCGCTTCAACAAGGTAGGAACGACTACATTTTCCCCTTTAGTCTATTCACTTATGCAATACCGATTGATCTTTACAGCTTCCCATCCTCTGTCATCTCCTCCTTTTCACACGTATACACTGATATACTCCTTTCAGATATTTGTCCTGATTCACTGTATTCTCTCTGTTCTCCTTTCTCCTTTTATAGACAGTGCAGGTACCAGTGTACTCAGAGCAGGAGTATCAGGTGCATCTCCATGACGATGGCTGGACTAAAGCAGAGACAGACCACCTGTTTGACCTGTGCAAGCGTTTCGACCTGCGCTTCATAGTTGTCCACGACCGCTATGACTACCAGCAATACAGAGTAATCACACACTCATCTGCAGTATTTGTGTTCCCTTTCACCGAGGACATATTGCAAAAATCTGAATGCTGTGAGTTAAAGCCATTATTTGTAGTAACAATCTTCTTTTTATGCTCTTCAGAAACGATCTGTGGAGGACCTGAAAGAACGGTATTATAGTATTTGTGGTAAGCTGACCAAGGTCCGTGCAGCTTCAGGGACAGAGCCCAAGATCTACATCTTTGATGCCGGCCATGAAAGGCGTCGTAAAGAGCAACTAGAGAAGCTGTTCAATCGCACGCCTGAACAGGTTAGTATCTTTGCAATTTGATTTGAATTTGGATTCTTATGCTGCTGTTCAGATCTTATAACTTATAACATTGCCTGGCATAAGCATCATTCTGAGAATTAACCAATTATAACTGCAGGTATTAATGCAGTAATGCATTTTTGTGAAAGAAACAAAAAAAACCAACAATATTGCCAAAGCTTGTAAGATGATTTCCAGCCTTGTAAATATTTAGATTGCACTTCTCTTGTTTTTCCTGCAGGTGGCAGAAGAGGAATATCTTATTCAAGAGCTCAGGAAGATTGAGACAAGGAAGAAGGAGCGTGAGAAGAAGGCCCAGGATCTGCAGAAACTCATTAAAGCAGCTGACACAACCACAGAGTTAAGGCGAGCCGAAAAGAGGGTTTCCAAGAAGAAGCTACCACAAAAAAGAGAAACAGAGAAACCGGTATGATATGCACTCATACAAAAGAAGCACAAGTAAAGCACAAGCCAGCAGTTGGTACCTGAGAAATGTTTTCCTCTTCATTAGAGGCAAACAACTGTTAAATATTTTTTATTATTGATTTGCCACAGCTGTCAACCATATGATGGTGCTTTAATGCAATAGTACATTGAAATAATTAAGATTCAGCTATTTTGTATTCATCATTTGATATTATTTTGATGGAACAGTTGTGTCTCAGAGAAACTGGTGGGGGCTTTTGTGTCTCTCCGTTTGTGAATCACTGAGTCATCCCATAAGTTATTGTAATATTTTAAAATGTCGAGGCCATCCAAAGTTCAGAGGGGTGTCTTTTCTCGTCTCTCATCACTTACTCCTTCTCCTTTAGGCTGTTCCAGAGACAGCAGGCATCAAGTTCCCTGACTTCAAATCAGCAGGAGTCACGCTGCGCAGTCAGAGGGTGAGTACAGCTAGATCCTATTGAGGTATTAAAATTACAAAAAGAATATTCTGAAACATGTCTTCAACTTAAAAAATCACTTTGGTTCTCAAATACCAGTGAGAAACACCAATCAGAAACAAAGGATAAACCTGAAACCTAATACAGTAGTCATCAAGTAATCCCAAGGTTCTACATTAATTACTTCTATATCTTTTTACTGTGCTGACATTTATTATTGGAACTAAACTTTCTGAACTAGAATTTTTTTTTTTTTTTAAGTTTTGTTTGGATCACTATTAATATTAAAACAATTTTAGCGAAGCTTGACTTTGCAGTTGACGTATATGAGAAACCAGAGTGTCTGACTTGAGCCCAGCTATCTCTCATTAGCAGTGAGATGATTAATTCTGTTAGTCACTAGCTAATATCTGTAAGACCTAGCAAGGGGACTCTTATTCATCTTCAAGACTGATGAGGAGCTGCCGCTCTCTATGGAAAATGCATTAGCACAGCTAAAGGAGTGGAGTACCCCTCTAGCTAATCAGTCAGACAGAGTTCAGTGGATAAAGACATTTTGATCTGGCCCGCTGAAGTGCATTTCATACGAATTAAAAGCCCCGAGGTGGAGCTGTTTATCGTAATATCCCTGACACCTTAAATCACACCCTTATGTGTGTTGGTGTGTGACTTTCTCTGTATGTTTGTGTGTGCTTCAGATGAAACTGCCAAGCTCAGTAGGCCAGAAGAAGAACAAGGCCATCGAGCAGATCCTGATGGAGCAAGGAGTGGGTAAGTGTGTATAAATGTTAGCTCATGATTGCTCCGGTCTCAAAGTTTAAAATTTAAAAAAATTTAAAAACTCTTTTCTGCAACAGACTTCCAATATAAGGATCTTAAATTAGGTATTTAGTGGTCTTGGTTTGGTGTTTTCAGTATAGCAGGGACTTATTATTGGGACTTATGGTTGGGAACCACTGGGCTAGACTGATAAGCAGGGCTTTGCTAAACACAACTATCTAAGTTGCGTACTGAATCAAAAGCCCTTTACTGAACAGTTAGGGATAAATACATGTATTGGTTAGACCTTCTACTTCTACAATAACCATAC